CTCTCTGGGTGGCTCCGTAGCGTGGACATGACCTCCCAGGAGGCCCAGAGCAGACTGTGTCCGCTCATCTCTGCGGCGGGTTATTTAATCCAATGAAGACAGCACCCAGCCGGGAGGCAGGGGCCACGCAGATGTTGGCGGCGTTCTTACTAACACACGGCGCTAGGACCCGGCACAGGGCTGTGGGGCTTGACATGTGGGTACGGCTCCCCTAAGACCAAGCACCTCCTGCTGCCTCGTAATTGTCAGCGAGGGGCCCACCTGATGAGCCTCCTTTCTCCTTCCCGTTGCTGCACGCCTGTTCTCTCGGTTGGTTGCGTGCTCTTCCCGCTCTGCTGGGTTTTGTGTGGATTTACTTGGAAATGGCGGTGTTCCCGTGCTACTCACACACCCCCTGGTTCCCGTGCCAGTGACCCTGGGTTACACTCTCATGCCTGGGCACCGAGGGAAAGGGCAGGATTGAGACCAGCACGTGTGGCTCAGTCCCGGCGGCCTCTCCCAGGTGAGGCCCGGAGCCGAGGGGCCCACCTCCACGGCCTCACACACAATGCAAAGGGCGGCGAGTGGGCCGTGTTCCACCTGGGCCCTGGGAGGGGGCGTCTTGCTCCCAGATGCCCTCAGAGTCGCATCTTTCTGTGCTTTGTCACAGCTCTGCCAGGCCTGGCGTCTCCTAGGTTCGTTTTAGTAATGGGTGAATTGACCAAACGGGTAGGAACGTCAAGACAAAACAAAAAACAAAAAAAGTGACGTCCCGAATCCAGAGCTAAGGAAGAGGGGTAGATTACTCCCGGTGCTCGTTCTCGCCTCGCATGTGATCACACACTGTTCACACGCCGGCACCTGCTGTCCGTGCGGTGCCTCCCATCAGTGTCACGCCCGGTCACTGAGAAAGGGTGGCGCCCACCTCAGCCCCTTGGATCCTCACAGCGGGCGTGGAGGGTGGACGTTCACAGCCTCCTCTGACCTTTACAAAGGTACCCGCGCAGTGAGTTGCCCAAAGCATTGCCCTGGGCTTTGGAACTCTGGTGGGTCCTTCACCCCACCGTACCCCCACTTCTCCTTGGTGTCAGACGCGGCCCAGTGAGCACCGATGCCCTCTGGGCTCACACTCCGGCCGCCTCCCGCAGCCTCTCCCCTCTGTCTGAGTCCCCATCAGTTGTGTGGGGCATCGAAGCCCAGAGGCCTCCCTATCCTCCCTCCCTTCCACTCTCTAGAAGTCAATGGGAAAAATATCCGCGGGTGAGGATTAAAGAAAACAAAGAAAAGAAGAGCAGGTAGTTGAAGATCTTCTCCAATAGGATTAGAGAGTGTGTCTGTTCCCAGGCCCCACTTGTCGGGGGCTGTGGAGGACTGATTTTCTAGGCATGAAGAGCCCCTCTGAGGTGGGAAAACTAGCACTGCTTCTCCCAGGGCGGAACCTCTGGTAAAAATAGCTGTGCTCACGCCCCCGCCCGCCCCCCGTGGGAGAACGTGATGTCTTTCTGGTGTGACTCCCCTGAGAATAACAGTTCCTCCTGTGTCCTCGATCCTCCGGGCCTCAGATCCCGCCTCCGCGCTCCAGGCTTTTTCCGGGCGGGCGGGCGTGCTAGGTACAGCCAGAGGCTCGTTCTTCATCGTTGCCCTCCACCATCCTGCCTCAGGTGTCCCGTCCCAGGTGTCCTCACCTGAGGGAACAGGTTTCAAAAGGCTTCCATTTGCCAGCATCCTATTTCTCTCTCTGGGATCAGGAAAATTCCACCGAGACGGAACTGGAAAGAAAAGGGAGCAATTGGCGGTGGCGAGCAGCGTTGAGACCTGCGGGCACACTCCCGTGGGCAGTGATCACAGGGCAGAGCTCCAGTTGGCCCGGGCTCGTCCTTGCCCCTAGCGCCGTGGTCAGCGGCCGGCGTGAGGCTTTCAGAAGTGGGGCTTCTGCCCTGGGTCTGACAGCATGTGGCCCCCCCGAAGCGGGGGCAGCCCTCAGCAGTGCCCTGCTCTGGGCGACAGCTTTAGAACTCGATGCCCTGGACCTTCGGTCCCCTCCCCAGGCTTCAGCGTGGGCCGCCTTTTAGATCTTAGGAGCTCTTCTTTTAGTTGTGTGTGTGTGTGTGTGTGTGTGTGTGTGTGTGTGTGTG